TATCCATTTTATCCTTATTTATTTATCAGAAGAACGGTGGGGGCCGCCACCGAGAACGCCCTAGCCCTCGTGACGGCCAATCTAGCATCCTTGGGGCCCGGTATAGTTAGAAAGTTTTGGGCCCCCGACCGTAGCGCTCTTGGGGGAACATACGGGGAAAGGCGGTCCCTCAGGTAGGCATTATTTTTAAAACCACCTTGAGTCACAAAAAACTGCAGGATATCATAAATAAATCACAGACCCACACTGAGTATCTGGGTAAAACAAACATTTTGAAGCACATACATGTCTTTCTGATGCACCTAAATCAAGTACAGTTCCCCAAAAAGCTCACTTTTGAAGCACGAAGATTGGCTATTTCTACATGGAGATTTTTTCCCTGGGTGCTGCAGAGTGGATTGGCAATTATAAGCCCCTGGGACTTTTCCTGATAGGCCAAAGCCCTCCCTCCCCAAGACTGTCCAAACCAGTGGTGAGAAGGGCATCACCTGGACCAGCCAAGCTGTGTGCAACACAAAGAAGATGGCGCCTGGCCTGGCTCAGCCTCACACACCTGGCCAAGCCCCATACAACACAGGCCTGGCTGGGCAGGCAGGCAGGCACTTTTCTCCCTCCTTTGGGGGGCAGGGCAGACCTGGTTGGGGCCCTTTTGCAGGGCTGTTCCCCCTCCCCTCAGTCCAACCCTGCGTGGGGAGAATACAAGATTACACGGCTTTATTTAGGAGTTTTCATACAACACCATGCTCTTACTGAGCGGTGCTCCTGGGTCTTTCTCTTTTAAGCCAGAGGAAAGGTCTTTTGCTGGACTTTAGAGGGGGAATGGCACAGCAGCTGCAGGCAGATCTTCTCTGTGAAAGCTCTGCCCACAGCCAATTTTTCTTTTTTTTGGGGGGGGGACCTAGTACCACCTTCAAAATGGCAGTGCAAGGCTCTGGCATTCCTCTCTCCGCTTTTAGCCCTTTACGGGGCTAATTTTTCTTTAGCAACTGTGCCACAGGTCAGTTCTGAGCTGCAGCTGAGCTGCTGGGAGGAGGTGGGACTGCTGGGTTGCAGGGGCCACAGTTGGTGCTTCAGTAACAAAGAAGAAGGGGATGGGGTGGGGAGGTACCAACAGAGAAAGGTGTGGGGACAGGGCATGTGAATGCCATCCCCGTGTGCTGCCATCCTGCTTGCTGCTGCTCGAACACCCCTGTGTGCAACCAGCCTGCCTTTAATTAGAATAGCATTAGAGTTAGCAGAGTGCACTGAAGTGCATTGAAGTCAATGGGCTTAGAAACGGCATAAATTTGCTTAGAATGGCACTGCAACTAATGCAAAATGAAATAAAGAACCTTATATTTTCTGTTTCATCACAATAACAAAAATAAAGTAGGAAAAATAACAACTGTTAGCATTAATGCCTGTTACTCTGACACCTGGCTTTCTCGTTTTGCTAATTTAGGGGTTCTCAACCTCTTTGAGCCTGCAGCAGGGCTGCCAGCTCTGGATTGGTAAATACCTGGAGTTTTGCGGAGTGAAGCCTGTGGAGAATGCAATTTGGGGATGGGAGGGACCTTAGCAGGTCTATAGAATCCACCCGCCAGGGGGACTAATCTCTGTCAGTTGGAGATCAATTGTAACAACAGGAGATCTCCAGGTGCTACCTGGAGGTTGGCAACTCTAGCCTACAGGCACCTTTGGAATTCTGACACAGGGTGGGCACAAGTACAAAATGGTTGCCATAGGAGGCAGAGCCAGCCACAAAATGTCTGTCTTCAGTCATGCAGTGAAGATCCTTGCAGTGCATAGGCAGCACTGGGGCACATCTTTAAAAATTTGCCCAGCCAATCAGATCTTTAGTGGCCAATCAGAACCCCCACCTGGCCCCAACCACTTTCTAAAAACAGTTGGCAGGCACCAGGAAAGGCATCAGCAGGCACCACATTGAGGCCCACAAAGCTAATTCAACCTGAGTTTGGCAATAGAAGGAGGTATACCAAATCAGGAGTGAATGAAACTGACAGGGAACATTTCCAATCAGCAGAATAAAACAGACCTTGCAATATAAGATTGTTTTCCCCCTGACAGGTCTTTCTTCTTACAGTGTTTCCAGAAGTCATCAGTGGCTTAAGGAGACCTTCCTTGGTTCTACATAAGCAGCATCTCATCCTGCCAGCATTTCTTTGTGTGAGCTAGTTCTGGTCTCTTTGAGACTGAATGTTCTCAGGTTCTTTGTGACGCTTTGCAAACTGCACAGGACTAGATTTTACCATTTTGTTCCATCAGCATGCAGGCATTCCTCTAGCACAAAAGCCTATCTCCTGATCAGAGAACTTCTTGTGTTATTGGAAGGGTCCTTGCACCAAATGAGCATGTAAGAGCCAATAGAACAAAATGATAGGACCCAAAGGGAGGTTACTGTGTGACTGAACTGCAAAAGAAAGTAAGATCAATTCGCTATTGTTACTAGAACGTATGAGTACTGCTCTGTTTACCTATCCTGCAAAGATTTTCCCTATCCCTAGTGCTAATTCTAGTTTACGTCTGTATGTTAACTCTGAACTTGATCTACAAGTGACTTAACTGTCAAGCTCGGCCTGCTTTTTTGCTTTCGATTCTTTTCATATCTGTTTCCCTTCCTCCTCGCTTGTCATGTTACATTCCTAAGGGGGGGTGAGTGTTATTGGAGTGCATGGGAGTAGGTGCTGTGACGATCTTGAAGCCTGCCCCAAGTGTCTTGTGCCCGTGAGACTGACCTTGGAGATCTCTATGCCAGCCTAGGTTAGAATACGGCATCATATATCTGTCCATGTTGTCATAGAAACGCTAGGGGGTAGGCATGACGTGGTTGTGAATGGAATTTGTTGGTCTTACCTATAACCTGTATGTTCCCGCGGTTTTTCCCCAGTCCTAACAAAAGCTCTTGAACCCACAGCAATCATATCTCTCCTTTATATAGAATTGAGTAAGGGAGCGGAGAAAAAATACGCACTGTCAGCCATTGGCCCGCCAGCTGCCGTTCAAGGCTGCTGGCGTACCATTGGCTGAGAGGCGGGAGGCGAATGCTGCGAGTGGACGCTGCTGCCAGGAGCCGGGGAAGGGAGGCTGCGAGGCCAGGTGACGAGGCTGGGCGGGGGCCGGCGCCAGGAGGATGCGGCAGCCCCAGAGAAGCGGAATGTCAGCGAGGGGGACAGCAGCGGCTGAGGACGGCGGGTGAGGAGCTCATTCGCTCCACCACCTTCTTCGGCGGGGGGCCTGCGTCGGGGCTGCCTGGCCTCAGGAATGGGGGAGGCGGCC